CCTTTAATTTTATTCACTGTCAAATTCGCAGAATTGTCAATAATTCCAAAGGTTATGCCCCCTATTTCAGTATGTTATGTCAATGTATTTTTGTGCCAATAACTTGCAGCAGCTAGAAATGGTACTGAATCGGAATGACATCCGTATATGTTTACAGTGCTGAACCTATGAAAAATATATGGTCAGTTTTCAAGAACTTGAGCGTCAAAATGACTACCTGACTATTGAAAGTTCTTCAAACAATTTTTTTTGGATTGAAAAGGTCAGTAAATAAAAAAACCCAGCTTAAGTATGGAGCAAGCTGATTTTGTTTAAGATAAGTGTGAGGCATTTGTAAAATCTTATGTCCCTGTAGATCTCTGTCCATTTGTTTGAGTTGATCAAGACTGAAATCTCTGACACCCAGTTAAGTACATAATTTGACCCATACACATGTGCCTTCAATTTCCCCCTGAAATAGTGATTCTTATGATGTCAGCTCTTTCAACTTCTTTTTACTATAAGTATACTGTAGTATGTTCATCCGTTCCTGGTGAAATTTTGTTTGCGAACGGTGGGAATTCTGCCTCCCCCTGGGCGGTGCCACTGACTGAAGGGGGACATTAACTTGTTATTATGCGCAGTAGAATTGTAAATGGGCTGATTCAACAATGTCATGCTCGTAGCTGTGCCTGAACTGCAACAGAGAACTTGCTTTTTCTTTCCTAATCCTTACTATCGTCATTTTCCTCTACTTTTGTATGTTTGTCTCACTCTTGTGGCCCGCTATTTCCGGGGTGTCTGATAGTCGAGGCAGACTTTGTGCTGTTGAAGCTAGACAGGTGAGCAGAGTAAGCGTGGTTCCCTGTAAAGACTTCTCTGTTGACATCCACCCCTTGGTGCTCATATGACCTTATGCAGTTGCGAGCACTGCAAAACCTCTACTAAAACTGGAAATTCTGATAAGGTCTGATTCTTCCATTTCTCATTGTTATTATTGTACAGGTCTGCCTCGTGGCGAAATGTAGCCATTATCATGCTAACTCAGCATTAACAGAATTATGAGGACCACCTTTCTTTTCCCACTCAGGGTGTTCCACAAACCGTCCAATAAGCCAGTGAAGCTCAAGCGTCATAAGATGATAGCCCAGGCCTTTGAGAAGAGGAAGGAGATCAATCAGGGCCGAGTGTCCATCAGCTACCTCAGCTCTCACGATGATCCACTTGGTGAGTAGGTGGCTCTCATGGCCTAGAGGTTAAGGTGTTCACCTCTCTTTCAAAATGTCCCAGGTTCGCATCTGGGTAGCGACGGAAATTTTTTTTCTCTCAAATTTTCTCCTTTCGCTTCCTTTCTTGCTCTCTTGCAATGTTCTGTTGTCTGCTTTCGTCTTTACTTTATGCCACCACCCCCCTCACCTCCTTTGCCCCTTCCTCTGGGCTCCTGACTCTTTCTGCAGCCTTTTTACTGCTATTTCTTGGCTCCTTCTTACTGTTGTCTTTTAGTCACACCCCTGATCTTATGGTTGGTAAGATCTACACCTAACCTTCTTGGACAAGGGCCAAAAAGCTCGGAGGTCCCGTCTGCAAGTTGCGCACATTAAAGATCTTTTGGTGGCCCAAAATCGATAAGAGTAAGCTTTGGCCGCCACCCATGCAAAATTCAAAATTTCCTTCCAACAGAAAATGTTTTTGGTGTGTCCTGTGCACTCATATTACCTTATGCAGTTGCGAGCGCCGTAAAACACTTATACCAAAAAAAAAAAAAAAGAACTCGGTGAGTCAAATGTGTTTAGTTTTGGTATGAGTTTTATTGTGCTCACAACTGCATAAGGTCATATGAGTGTGCGAGCCAAAATGTGTGAGATTGGAAAGGTTTAATATGGCAGACTGCATTTATTTAGCGCTCTGTCTCATACAAGTATAAAGCTCTGAGTGTAAAGCTATTTAGAAGATGGGCTTGGTAAGTCAGTTTCTTATGAAATTTTAATTCATCACATTCGTAGTTAACTGACTATGTGACAGTTCAAGTGTTTCTCTGCCCTTTGTCAATGAGGCATGTAGTGATCGTTATGTTGAAAACAAAACATATTTCATTTTTATGATTACCATTGCTGTTTTGTAAGTGGATATTGGTGTATTTATTATCAATAAAGATTAACATGGTACTGGAGTAGGCCCACAAGAAAAACAGTTATTTTGTTTTTCTTTGTTGTAAAATTCGGGTTTTTTGGATGGTGCTATGGCTTGCAAGTCCTTTGCTTCTCTTGTTGTGTCTTGTGATTTGTGTGTGCCTGATTGTACCCTCAAAGTGTTTTCTCCATGATGAACTTTGGTTGAGTTCAAGGTCATGGTGTGAGTGTTTTTATTTTCACTTTATATTGTTGGAGGTAGCAAATGCGATAATGGATCAGGTTTTGCCCCATGTTAGGTTTGAGTGATTTCCCTGTCACATCCACTGAAATGGCATATAATTATGAAGTGTAGCGGTTACGCACTTCACCTGGCGGTCGCAGGAAAGAGGTTTGAGCTTGATTCTTGAGTGGGAAGATTTTTAAAAAAATCGAGTATCATTGCCTTTCATCTGGGATGCTGTATCCCTTCCAGTCTAGGTTAGCCTTGATAGGCAGGGTGGAAGCCCATGTCCTAAATGATCTCAGTTGTGTTGCAGGGTTTGTGTGGGTCTTGGAAAAGAGGAAAAGTCTTGGAATTTAATTTTTATTTTCCAAGACATGGAAAACTCTTTGAATTTGGGGAAATTGGCAAAAGTCTTTGAAAAGTATTTTTGCATGCTGAATGAAAACTTTTCTTCCGAAATGACTCATTATTTGTCTTGTAAAAAAGAAATCTGGTTTTGAAAACTCTTGATAAAGTTTTGGGAAAAAAATGTCCTGCTCAGTATGAACCCAGGTGTTGATGCCTACATTTTGAATTTTAATTTTACATCCAGTGAATCATTTTTCTTTTCTGTCCAGGTATGAAGTTTGACCTCAACAGTGGCAGTGATGATGAGCTCTCCTCCAACTTTGCTATGGCGATGCCCAACTTGGTTCGTCGACGGGGTGGCCTTATCTACCCATCTGCCGGCATGGGTAGGCGATATTCAGACTCGGGTGAGTGTCTTCATATTTCTTTTTATGTGCTGGAGTGGTATAATAAAAAAAGTGGGAACAGGCATTCGGGTCTGTGTAATAAAAAAGCATTCTTTCTTTGTTTCCTCTAACCATTTTGTCTTTCATTCTTTCTTTAGATGCCGCTATTTGCTCTGTTCTTATTGGTTTTCTTCCTTTCTATACCTGTATGCTCTGATTTTTCTGTCTTTTATTCTTCCTTTCTCTGAGTCGATAAAAATAACAGCATTTTTCTTTCTGTATAGTATTTTCTCTAATCTTTCTGGGTTTTTTTTGGTTTCTTTCTATACCAGTATTTGCTTTAACCTATTGTCTTTTATCCTGTGTTTGTGTCTGCCCCTCCAGATGTCCAGTCCAGCGTGTCGACCCGACGTGTGTCCCGTGAGTCACAGATGATGGAGTTCCGTGAAGCCCAGTTTGTCATGATTGGCCACGATGGCCTCCCCGAGGCAGGGCGTAGGACCAAGAAGAAGATGAAGAAAAAGAAGCGCGGGAGGTTAAACCGAATACGGCCGGTGGTCGGGCCGCTCTTGAATGGTATTCGCTTTGGGAACGGGCGGCTGGGGAACCTCCGCAAGGGCAGCGACTCTTCTGCGATCAGCCAGATGTCAGCTCATAGCGTGCGAGTGTCTATGGAGAGGAACAGCATCGAGACGGCGTCCTTGGTGTCGAATCCACCAGACACGATTCTCCCAGCCGTTACTCCGAGCAGAGAGGCAGCAGCTTCGTCGTCGAGGAATCCTAATCGTGTGGGGCCGTACCTTGAGTTTGGCCCTCGCAAACAGGGCACCGACTTCACCATTTTCTCTGCGAAGAATGCGCTAAATCACAGCCACCACGAGGCAACAGGGGTCCACGGAGGGGTCGGGGCGGCGAGTTCAGGGATACAGTCGGAGCTGTCACTTCCAGGGGCGCCCGACGAGCCTCCTCCTTCACCGAGGAAGGCTGAGCGAGGGGCACAGCAGCAGCAGCAGCAGCAGCACCAGAAGCAGCATCACTTCCACCCTTTCCAAACGGACAGCTTCCAGCAGCAGCAAAACCTGAAGTGGGGAGCTCAGGTGGAAGATGCGGGTCTGAACTCTTCGTCTTCCGAACCAGCCATGCCTCCTCCACCGTCGGGCCGAATGGGTCGCAGGAAGTCGATGGCCGTCGGTACCACTAGTAAAAGAGAGACGCTGGTTACCGTGGAAACCCACCAGATGGAGTGTGGGCCGGTTCCTTTGTCCAGTCTCATGGCGGACATCTCTGGCGGTAACTGGGGCGTGTTGCTGGGCAAAAGTGGGTCAAGCTCCGGGTCGGAGGCGGGGGGTGGTGGGGCCAGTGCTTACATGAGCGGGGGTAGCGGCTTCATGGGCCGGCCTCACAGACCTCCAGATCCGTATATGGGCATGCCGGGTGGCTTGATGGGCGCGGTGGGAAGTGCATTTGGTGGCGGAGGGCCAAATCCGTACATGTCCGCCCCGTCCAACCACCCGTCGGCGTACATGGGGGGCGCAGGCCCTTCCTACACCACGGCGAAACAGCGCAGCAAACCTCACATGGGTATGTCTGGGATGAAGGCGAACGGGGGAGCGAGGCCGAAGGTCATGGGCGACCAGTGGGGTCACTTCCCGGCCTTCTCTCCCCCGCAGATGCTGCTGGACCATAGAACCGCCACGCAGCACCACGACCGCCGCTGGGAGCGGGAGAGGAGGAGGGAGAGGGAGCTACGCCGGCCCAACCAAGCCTTTTTCAACGCCAACTACAATGTGGAGGATGATGATCTCGAGTTCATTTCTACCTGATTCATTGGCATATAATCCTCATACTTGAAAACAATGTGGGGGTGCAGGGGGGGGGGGACAAATGATGTTTAACATCGTTGATCGACAAGAACGACGAACTTTCGCTCCGGTCACAAAACGACGATCGGCGATGTTTACTACCCATTTTCTTTGGATTTCCCCCGAAACGCTTGTGAGGGCAAAAATATTTACTATATGAGCCTTGTGATGGCAAAGTGTTAACTATGCGTGATGGGCGGGGAGGGGAGGAATGTATGCTACTATGTGAAAACCTGAGGTAAATACAGGTTCTCAGTCAAAACTTTTTTTTACTGCAAGTTGGAAGAGTTTGTGCCTGGGTCATGATGCATATTTATTGATCACGTTGTAACTTGCTTACACGATAGAGTTCGGTTAAGCCGAGTGCGGTTTAAAAGAAAGAAGCAGTGGTAAACTGAAAGCAAATAAAATCTCGAATGATTCTTTTTTTTGTTTGAGCAACCTGTCTAAATCGAAAACCTGGCTGAAATGAAGAAAATGCAGCAGTCCGGTAGATTTCGGTTGAAGGCCACACTCTACTTCTTAGCCCCAAAATCTACAATTTAGTGATTTTTAATTGTTTTTTAAATCATTTTCTCAAAGTATTTCATTCCAGGATTGAAAACAATCAGTTTTGGGAATCATTATCAGTTACATAATCACAGAAATTGCAAATTTGAATGAAACTGGGCTATCTTAAGGACTATTTTCAAAAGCTAAAAACTCAAACACTATTCATGCTATCTATGAACTAACTCCACATTTATGATCTGCACACAAATCTTAAGAAAATGACGCTAGCTTTTCTTGAAATTGTTAATATTAATAATTTTATTACTGTTAGAAGACTTGCATATTCTCGAATGACAAAAATAATCCAAATAGCAAAGTAAAAAAATCATAAACAGTATTCTTTTTCTCCAAAATTAGAAAAAGCTAGCATAGTTTTATTTGGAATTGCATAGTGCACTTACCCTCCAAGTTTCATGTCTTTATCTAGAATGTTTTTTTAGTTTTTAGCTTTTAAACCCAAAAATGAACATTTTGAGGAAAGGAGCAAAAACATCTCAAAATTACTTTAACACTTTCCCTACGCAGCCCCAGCTCATTGCTCTCTTTACCTTACTATAATAATAGTCTATTCACTACAAATGTAGTGTTTTGTGGGGTCAGTAAAAAATTCACCATTTATTGCAAAATATGTTCAGAAGTACAAAACTGCACGCATGAAAAGCTAAAGATCTATAGAATGTTGTGTGGAAAGGAAAAGGAGCTGCGATAATATGAAATAAGACAGCAAGGTTATGAACATTGACCAAAAAATGCGGAAAAATGTTACTTTTTTTACAAGGAGTTGATGCAGAAATTTAAGAGGAAAAAGCAATAAAACAGTTGATATACTCACATTTTTGTGCAAAATTGTAATCCATTTAGTGAACATGTAATCCAACACTCATTCCAACTCAAATAGAGCGAGACATAATCCATACAGCAATAATACACATGATGTGAAAGATTAGGAAATAAAAACTGGACTGTTCACAAACTATTTACAGTGCAGCACAGCTATGCAATGAGTTTTAGGCTGTGTAGTCCTTGCGAGTATGATAATAATAGTCAAAACAAGGGACTACACACGAAGGAATTTTGCACTGTGTGTGGGCACCAGTATGGTGTTGTCTGGCGTTTTGACTTCAGTGGTTTTGGATCTCCTCCAGCTTTTGGAGCCCTATCGTAACACACTTTGCAGTTTTTGCACGTTGCTTTGCTGCCTTCTGCTGAAATAAATGATGGAAAATGCTTTTCCTTCGAGTCTGTCAGTTACCATTGTTGGGCCATCTCCAGCAACACTTGTGACTGGCTCCACTGCACCATTCACAAGACCCATAAGAATTGTTTTGATGTTTTCATGTAGGGGGATTTGTTTTTGTCCATTTCCTCGCCGATGAATGTTCAATAAAACAGATGACTGAACCATTGCAAGAGTCAAAAGGTGAAAAAATGGTTTCTTCCACCACTTCAGACTTTTCTTGTGCATTGGTGAGTACGGCACCCGTTGGTCTGAGTGGTCAACACCTGACATATTTACGACATTGTAATAAATAATAATGAAGATCATTTCTATAGCGCCCACTCCCATGTAAACACAGCTCTAGGCGCTTATTGTCAATGACGGCAAGGGATTTGTTTTTTTATTTCAACGCGCCCTTGAACTTCACGTAGAGTGGGCAGACTCATTGTAGATGACGTGACAACTTCGCATTTGTCTGTCCACCTAGTCACAACCAACTGCTTATACCTGCGGTAGTCAAGTTTCCCTTTCTCCTGTCGGCCAATGAAGAGATCATTTGGCATGCTCACTCAATTTCATCGAACAGTTCCACAAGACATAGTATTCCTCTCTAAGAGTTAGTTTCTTGGAGAGTTCAGGACAACAATAATGATTTTCAAAGGATAATCGATATCCTTTGTCTTCTTCTTCTTCCTCGTTCTCGATGACAGCAGCTAGACAGTCAGTCCCATGTCGCGCACAAACTGTGCAGTTCGCATCAACTCTGAGAGACTGCCATAGAGCTTTTTCTCAAGGGGAGCCACATTCTGCCAGGTCTGTGTACGAAGGGTGGCGTAGCGCGGCAGTGCTGAAGGATATGGTTGGCATCCTCTTGGTCGTGTCCACATTCACAGATCGCTGATTCTCCCACTTTTAATTTGGTGTGCATGTGGTGTTTTGAGTCTGTTGTGGCCACAACGAAGTCTAAAGATTGTGACCTCGTCTGCTCTATATGTCCTTTGTCATAAAGTGGCTCCATCATCCTCATTACGATGTCTGTAGGTTTGTTGCTAATTCGTTTGTCAACGCAGAACATCTCAAGGAAACAAACAAAGCCAGTACCGCTCTCACAATGCTCACAAAATTTGAACCGCCACTATACTGGCTTATCTTTCATGTATACCTTGAAAAGAGAGTGTCCTTTGAAGGGGCACATAGCCTCATCAGTACATACATTCCTGTCAGGCACGTAAAGGGCTTTGAATACTGTGTTTAGATGTGTGATGAAGGGGCGTATTTCTGTCCTCGTAGTTTCATGCACACCGCATAATTTAGCAAAATTTGATCATTTTTTTGGCCAAATATCTGATTTTTGTCCTTTATCATTCTTTGTTAAAATTAATAGAATCGCATCATTTCCCATTTTTGGGCTCAGTTTGCATAATTTCAGATTTTTTGTGTGCATAAAACCACAGGGACAGGTATTTTGTGGAGGGGGTCTTGGTTTGGTTCTCCGTAGGCTACAAACGTCTCATTGTTACCAACATGAAAAAAGCTAAGAATATTTTTGTATCTTTTATGTGGCATAAGCTTTGCTGCAAATGAGCTGTGGAGTCCTGGGTGAGCTGTCCAGTAGCAAGTAATGGTAGGCTTCTTGACGAGCCCCTTGTGAATGCAAATGGCAATGAATCGTTTCATTTCATTTCGCGTCCCTGGTTTCCATTATAATGAAAATTTACTTCTCTGGGACAATCTAACACTTGTTCTTTTCTTTTCATTGATTACTGACTTGGCGTAGCAATTAGTTTCTTCCTTCCACTGTCTAAGATTTCAATTGTGGATGAATCTTCACCCAAGTCTACTCTGATTCCAGGATTTTCTTGAAATGGTGGTATCTTTTGAAAGCCCCTGATATTTTTTACCTGTGTATCTTCATCATCTTCTGTAAGCCTAGCATCTCGATCTAGATTTAAATCCACTCCCTGGGTTTTTTCGGGGCCTAGAGGTTAAGGTGTTCGTCTCTCATTCAAAGGTCCCGGGTTCGAATCCGGGTAGCAGCCGAAAAATTTTCTTCTCTAAAATTGTCTCCTTTCACCTTCTTTCCTGCTCTCTTGCAATGTTCTGTCGTCTGCTTTCATCTCCCCTTTCTTCTCTACTTTCTTTCCCCACCCCGTCACCCTTTTTACCCCTTCCACTGGGCTCCTGACTCTTTCTGCAGCCTTTCTACTGCTACTCCTTGGCTCCTTCTTACTGCTGTCTTTCAACCACACCCCTGATCTTCTGGTACGAAAGATCTACACCTTGCCTTCCCTTCACGGACAAGGACGAAAAATCTCGGAGGTCCCGTGTGCAAGTTGCGCACATTAAAGATCCCTTGGTGGTCGAAAATCGATAAGAGTAGGCTTCGGCCGCCACCTGGGCAAAATTAAAAATTTCCTACCAACTGAAAATGTTTGGTGTGTCCCGTGCGCTCATATGACCTTATGCAGTTGCCAGCGCAGTAAAACACTTTCCAAAAAAAATAAATCTACTCCCTGTTCACCTTCTGAGTCAAATAAATCAAGAGGCCGTCTATCTTCATCTTTGTCATCTCCTTTATCTGCTTCACTATCACCACTACTACCTTCAAGTTGAGCACTTGTGCTAGGTCTAGATCTACATCTAACTACATTCTGGTTATGAAGAAGATCGCCGTCAGGCTCATACTCGCTATCACTATCATTGTAATGATCTATAGACTTATCTTCCTCAGATCCTTCTTGAAATATCATGTCTAGTGCAGTATTTGCAGGCTTAAAACGCGCTCTCTTTGGCCTTCTGAAGGACGCCATTTTCAGTTCCACAACAGAAGACAAAAATTTTGGAACGTCTATCGTTTCGTAAAGAAAAAAAACCCTCACTAAAATCGTCTTGAAGTCAAATGGAAGAAACCAAAGAAATGTTCAGACCTTCCATCCTATCATTAGAGTTACTTTCCTTACCAAATCCTTTATTCTTCTGTAAAAAAAATTTGAAAGTTGAAACACACCGATATGTGCGTTCCGCATTGAATGAACGTTCTCGTGACGCACAGCGGCGTGCGCTGCACAGCGAATGGTAAAGAAAGCTGGCACACACGGGCGTGTGTTTCGTAGGGAAAGTGTTAAAGCTTTATATTGGCTCACAATGTTACATATACTTTATGGAGCTATTGCTTTGAAATAGGACTTTGGGAGTACTTCCATTTATTTAGCATATAATTTTCAAGGGAAGTATCTTAACATTAAAAAAACATTGTCTGGACCCAAACTGGACCCCAAAAACGTGTGTGTGGCCTTAAGCTGACTCCACTGTATATCTACTTTGATCTTATTTTACACTGGGGAATATTTTGAAATGGACCTTGTGAATGTCACTCATATGTAGTTGAACTTTGACCTCATTTTTTACAATTTTTAAACAATATCTACTGTTACTGTAGTTCAATATTGGTACCGGCATAAAAATGGTCAAGCCCCCTTTTGGGTGTGAATGAAAACTTATTCAGTGCAAGTTTTTCATTAAGCAGCTATAGTTTTTGGAACGGGGGCAGCTGAACTTTCTATTAACTATGATAACATCTGACATACATGATACAGTGCTCAACCCTGCTTAAAGAGCACATGTTCTGAGCCCTTAACAAATCGAACCTAGGGTTCAAAACTATCATGTCTTAAAATCCCCACTTTTCAGGAGAAGTGTCATTTTTTTATATAACAGGTTGAAAAACACACCAAATTTGTCTGTGGATTTAAAAAAATTGTATCACTTTCAATTTGGACGGTACTTTAGGTACGATATTATGGCCCTGGTTTTTAGGGCAAAAGAACTTTCGTAAGTTGAGTTACAATAGTTTAGAAACTTCCTTTATAAATGTCATAGTATTGTATCTCAAGTTACGGTAGTTTTACTGCCAAGGAGGACATATTTCAATCTGTTATACCCAGAGATATGATACCAGTATAATATACATCTTTCTATCTCGATTCAAGTCTGTGGCAACAAAACTATCGTAACTTGGAGTTACTGTACTTTTGTATTAAAAGTAAATTTACAATGTTTTCTAAAGTATCGTAAGTGTAGATTAGATTTT